AGAAGCACTAACAAGAAGATTTTATCACATACCAAGAAGCACTAAATACATATAAAGAAAAGGGTATACCTAAAGACAATACAGACACATGAGAATCATGTAAAATTAAATAAATAATACTCTCATAGCATAAACAAATTTAGAGGTCATTTGATCTAACTCCCACTCATCAAATTAGGCAGGACTTCTGAAGGGTCTTTAACATATTATTTTCTTTTAGAATGTGTATAACCTTATCAAATTGAGATTTGCCATGGTTGTGCATCTTAAACTACTTAAAAGGCATGTTTCAGATGTTAGAAAAAATAAATTAAAAACGCTATTGAGAAAAAATAAAATAAAATAAAATAAAAACGCTATTTAGAAATCGTAGACCATGCTGCTTGCAGACCAGATCAATTGTGAACTCTTATCACAACAATTATCAAGTACATATCCCACTATACAAGCAAATCATGAGATGCTCTAATGTAAAAAGTTCTCTTCTACAATAGCTTCAGCATGCAAAGAAAGTTAGCTGGTTCCATAGGAGAAAAACTGAACTCTAGAAAAATAGTAAGTGAAAAGAGGCCACTTTACTATCGCATGTCTTATTATTAAACCTAACATTCATACTCAATAACAGGCTTAACATCCATTTATTGATGTCATTTGTCTGTAACAGAAATAGCCCTTAACAATCTTGCCTTTCATTAAACTACTACGCTAATTTATAGATCTCATTGGAAACAAAATGAAAAAGGCATTAGTACGTCATTTAAATTCATTTGTGTATTGTTACGTGTAAGGAGTGCAAAGGGTATACATCTCCTATGTAGTCATGATTTCTTGTACTTTATGTTCCTTCCGTCCAAATTGTTTGTCTATTTCACTATTCCAGACATCCCAAAAACTTATCTATATTTTTAAATTTATTCTCTTCTCAACAATTTTGAAGACTTTACCTACAACAACTAATTGAGATATTTAATTTGTGGGAGAAAAAATTTAATTTTTTTTTTATAAATATTAGTTATTGACCCGATTAAAGAGCACAAATGCCAAAAATAGACAAACAATTTGGGATGGAGGGAGTAAGATAGAAAGCAACATTTCCATGAACTTGAGGATTTATAAAAAGATATGCATGCAACAATAGCAAGATTGTAACACCTTATTTAGCAAGTAAACAAAATAATTGTTATTTTCTCTTGCATCAAAGTGGGGGCGGTGTGGATGTGATCACAAGTCAAACATGTGATGAACCTCTCATGGGTCTTAAATTACTAACATAATAACTTATTCAAAATTTTACTAGGATCAAACCCAACACATGACGGCCAATCATACGCACTAAAATATTAAAGTTCCCTGTTGCATAATACATACCGACACCAAAATCCCAGTTGTCTGCCTCCCCTTCCACATTCAGGCCTCCTATAATTAAAAATTATAAGCAAGAGATAGTCAGCACTGCAACTTCCAGAACCACAGCCACCACAGTAGAGCAATTTAAAAAGGAAAATTATATCTATATAATGACATCCAAGACAATATGAAGCAGCAAAAGTCAATGTCGATGCAAGGAGAAATGAGAGATTGGTTACCAATTGAACAAAATATGCTTCCATGCCTATTGACTGTCGTACATTTGTCCATCCAAATTTCATAGCAAGTTTCTAAATGATTTACCCCAAAATCACCATCTTATTCCTTTGATTTACTTTTCCAAAATAACAAGAGACTAAAAACTCCATATAGTGGTTTTGCTACATTGATCAAATGACTGACCGCAAAAATTGAGTTTACATGGTCACCAAAATCTTACTTCGGCAAAACATTATAGAAAGTTTCCCATACAACATGGCTTGTTCGGCTGCCGATCAAAAAAAAAACATGGCTTGTTCGGTTCATAAATCCTAAATGAAGAATGCTGACTTTGCCAACCTTCCAATGAGAAGCTCAACATGGAACGTAAATTAGTTTAACAAGTCTGAATAGTTTTTCCAAAAACGAAATGTGGGATAGACAGTTTGTTTTCTTGTTTAATAAGTGCCTACAATAGACCACATAAACTTGCATGTAATTTACCCATCAATAGGAGAAAGTGCATCCAAAAAACAACCAGAAAAACGTTATGATTTATTAAAACTGCATAATCAGTCATTCAATGAACAAAAAATAAAAAATCTAGAAGACAAAACCTAAAAAATCAGCCCCCAAGCTCACATCATCATCTTGAATGTCATCGTTTTCATCCTCACAAGGATCGAGCACACTCTTAACCTACACAAATTCCCAGTTGCAAACATTAACTTAAAGTTTTTGAACAAGGGACCAAGTGTTCCTGCAATATTCTATCCTTACCTTGAGAGCTAATACTAAATGCTTGTTGTTGACATTCCCAACCTCCATTTCCAGAGGATTTTTTATCCATGGATTATGAGCTTCTTGTATTGAGTAGCTTCTGAAGAATGGAGGCTCGTAATCCACAGGCTGCAAGATCAATGTGTGAGTGACTATATTTTTCTGTGGTCAAATAATACAGAGAGAGGAGAAGGATTTTTAGATGCATTATTGGGATAATGACAAGCCAAAACACCCAACATCTGTAAGATTCAAATGTCCCTATCTTTACCAGAATTTCTCATTCCAACAAAACTGTAGTTTAAAAAGAACACAATTCTAATAGCATAGAGATAATTTATAATTAGATAATATCATTGGACAACTAATAGAACAAACCACAAAAGATGCTAATTTATGGAGATCATATGCAGATACTAGTGCTTATGAGTTGCATTAATTATTTCCTCAGCCTTTTCATGGGAACAGTATCAAATTTTGGATTTTCTATACCTTTAATCAAGGATATCCAATGATCTGAAAGATGAAGTACACAAAAATCTAATTAACTGAAACACATACCATGACATCATCATAGTAGAGGAGTTTCATCACAATAGTGCGTTGATACAAAAATCAAATAAAAATCTGGCAGTCAAAAGCAAAGCTTTTAAATTGTATCAAAATTCGAACTGTTGGGTTAATTATATCCAAATTTTATTAATTATTGGTGAATATCGACTTATTCTCTACATGAATGAACATGTATATTTTAATTATTTTAACTATGAAAATGTAAGAAAAATACTTTCACACTAAAAAACCACCTTTAGAATAGGGCATTAGTATAATTTTTATAGATGAGAAAGGGTCAATACATATAAGCAGCTGATAATGCAAAGACAAACAACGAAGTATTTTGCTTGCTTGCCCTGCTGCAATGTTGCTAAAGTGGCACACGCTCTAAAGACTGATGCAAAGGTGTACTGATCTGGTGTCAAACCACTCTGTCTCATCTTATAATAAAGACTCAATCCCATTTCTACAAGACCATTTTAAAGCCAATGTCGATGCGAGGAGAAATGAGAGATTGGTTACCAATTGAACAAAATATGCTTCCATGCCTATTGACTGTCGTACATTTGTCCATCCAAATTTCATAGCAAGTTTCTAAATGATTTACCCCAAAATCACCATCTTATTCCTTTGATTTACTTTTCCAAAATAACAAGAGACTAAAAACTCCATATAGTGGTTTTGCTACATTGATCAAATGACTGACCGCAAAAATTGAGTTTACGTGGTCACCAAAATCTTACTTCGGCAAAACATTATAGAAAGTTTGCCATACAACCCGGCTTGTTCAGTTCATAAATCCTAAATGAAGAATGCTGACTTTGCCAACCTTCCAGTGACAAGCTCAACATGGAACATATATTAGTTTAACAAGTCTGAATAGTTTTTCCAAAAAAGAAATTTGTGGGATAGACAGTTTGTTTGCTTGTTTATTAGGAGTTTATGGGAGCCCCTTATGATTGTTCTGTATATCATCATCTAATCCACTAGAACCAATCATGTTCTTCTTGACACCAAAGAAAAAGATACGATTATTATTTAAGTTGAATAATTTGAACTAAGACATACATGGACACCTAAATACAGGGATTATTATCCTATAAGTTCACACTAAAATTGGCTACAGGCGCAAATTATACATCGACAAATAATGATATATATATATGTAATGAATGGATGAACGAGTAAACAAAATACAAGAATGTCATCTATCAAAAGTGACGAGCGAAGAGAGCTGTACCGAATGGGTGTTCTGATTCTCTCCCTTCTCCAAAGATATCTGCATGGACAATCCAAAATGGGAAATGCAATCATTTGTACAGCTACTGCTGCCAATTCTCATTTTCACTAAAACAACCTTCTCTTGTTGGTGCTTTTTTTAGTTTTTTAAGACACTCCTCCTTCCGTTACTTTCAAAGAAAACAAATACATATAAAAAGAAGGGGAAGAAAAAAGAAAAATAGGAACAAAGACCTAATAGCCGTGGACGTGGCCCTAGTTTGGAGTCCACGTAAATTTGTGTTCTTGTGTGCTTGATTAGATTCTTGTTTTTATTCTTATTTGTGTTTCATCTTTCACTGATCTTGGTTAGGTGTAACAATTCCTCACAACGACCTCCTAACATAGGTTATTAAAACAGGGCAACAAGTCACAAGTGCGGAAATACCAAAATACCTTTACTCCAAATTCGGAGTCAAGTAGTTAGTGTCTAGTACTTATCAGGATCCACACTACCCAACTATCATTTTTCATCAAAGAACATGCCCGTAGCGCTTAACAAGATGGCACGACAAATGTCAAAGTATTTAACATGAGAATAGCTACTTCATTTTTCATGCCTTTTTATCCTTTTCCAGGCAGCCACACTGAATTCTAGAAAGTGAAAATCTGCAGTATCATCCTTTATAACTTTTCAAATGAATATAGCTCCCATTCCTTCAATGCACGATAACAAAAATATAGCCAGCAAGACATTTCGAACAATATGAGATCATAAAAGGAAGATCCCATCCTTTAAGATATACCCTCTAGAGTGAATAATTTATGAAGATGTATTAAATTTACCAAGAGAAGATCTTCATCAATTCCAAAGGATTTGTGAGCTTCTTCTAGGCGCTTTGATGTGACCTTCTCATGTTTCCTGCACAATCATCCAAAGTGGAAACTACAATAAACAAAACCAATTGCTCAAGCAAAGATTTGCACAAATTGTAAAACTCAGTGCATTATGGCATGGTAAAGTTGCAAAGCATAGTGAACTTCTGGTTAAGATGCTTCTTTTAATGAGATTTCGCACATAGCTTCACACTTACTAGATTTCTTCAAATGGACCCAAAACATTTCAAATTTAAATGTGCATGCACGTGTAGACACACATCCTGGGGAAGAAAAAGACTAGTTTCCAACCTTTTCACTGTATTTTCTCAAATTAACTAACACACATCAAGAAGCATTCACTAAAGGATTCCACAACTCTTTTACTTAATCAACATGCTTAGGTGTTAATTATCTTCTTATGACCAAAGAAAAAAAGAAAAAAAAGAACTAAAAAAAAGAGGCAGCTCTGTTTTTTGTTTTTTCGAATGTTTGTGGATAGTGATGTTTAAAGGAGAGGGAAAACAAGTGATGTACCCAGAGCTCGCTGGATCTCTAATCTCAAACTCATCTGTCATAGCATCATAGCCACATATTACAACATAGTGACCTACAGAAGATTATAGTCCAGTTAGTAACAGATACAGATGTGGCATGCACAATGAATATACGGGGTTACTGGCCATGAACTCAAATATGAGATAGTATTAGTGGCAGTGAGAGGACTAGAAATAAATAATTTGGAGGAGAAAAAATGAGACAAACGCAAGATCATGTTCAACAGTTACTTCATTAAATCAGAAACAGTTAAACCCACACATTCATCTGCCCCTTTTTCTCCTACAACTCCAACTGATCCAAAATGAGTTATTTGTAGTTCATAAACAATAACGAAGTTCTCAAATTTCAACATTCCACCAACTATATATATATACAAGTCACAATAACAATCTACATCAACTTGGAAATCCAATCAATATGTTGTTCAAAGTGAGCAATTTATTTTGTCAGATTTTTCATCTTGTGTTTGATGAAAAGGAGATGACCCTTCGTCTGAGCCAGGGCAAAAAAAAGGATGATTATTCAATCAATACATATATAAATTCATATATATACTTGTATAGAGAGATTTTTAAGAGAAAAAAAAAATTATCCAAAAAAAAATACAGATAATGTGTACGCATATAACGAGATTGTGCGAGAGAGACAGAGATCGAGAGAGATTGAGAGATCGAGAGAGAGAAAAATCGATAAAACTGAGATTGGAAGACCAACCTTCAGACGGCGCTGATCTTGCACAACCTGTTTAGCACGGGCCCTAACCTCATATGGATCAATCTTGGATTGGGGCTAACTAGAGCATATACAACTCATCAATCACTGAAACGGAGAGAGAGACGGGAAGGAAGAGCTTCAGAGAGAGAGAAAGAGAGACGGTGGAGCTCACCTTAGGAGACGATGGTGTAGATGATGATGTAGACGATGGTGCAGATGGTGGAGACCGATCTGAATCTCTGAATCTCGGCGATGAAATCACTGAGATGAAATCGCTCTGAATCTTTGTGATGAAATCACTGAGATGAATCTCTGAATTGCTCTGATAAGGGTTTAGAGAGGGTTGAGAAGGAGATTTAGAGAAAGAAAGAGAGACAGTGGTGGAGCTTCGAAATCGTTCTGAGATAGAGAGAGAGAGAGAGCTCGAAAAGTTGGGTCTTAGTCTGAGATTCAAAATTAGGCTTTGAAAAGAGGAGACCAAGCGCGTGAGGCACAACACATTCGGAGGCGTTTCAAACGCCTCATATTATTAAACGATGTCATTTTGTTGAACAAATATGCGACGTTTAAAAAAACGTCGTTAAATGTTAAAAAAAAGTGACGTTTAAAAATGCGCCGTTAAAAAAACGCTGCCTAAACCTCTTTTTCCTGTAGTGAGGTCAGCTGCTTAACTAGCATCCCCACCCATTTTCCTCATTTTTTCCTTGTCCTGTGCTTCCAAATCCATTAATTTGCTGAGAACATCTTCATATTTACCTTCAGAATTCACACCAAGGATACTCCCAATTTAGAGTGATGCTTCAGCCTCATTGAGTAGCATTCTCCTATTACTTGATTCATTTGCCGTTGAGAGGGATATTACAGCCACTATCAACCTAAACATAGCTCCTTTCTTCAAATTTAAAGAAGTTCCTGCAAGTTTTTGACCCTTTTGAGACTTCCTTTCTTCTTCTGATGTTTGCTTGAGGTTTCTTTGGCTTTCTCCTTCTTACTTGTTTCTCTCCTCAGAATTGGTTTTGTAGAAGTACCTATGATCTCACTAGTTTCCTCTCTTACATTACGGGTTTGTGCTTCTTCTCCATTGCAATGTTGAATAGAATCTTCTAAGTTGGACTGGGCCCCCATTTTGCTAATTTCAAGTGCTCTGTGGGTATGGTTTCCACACACTTCAATTCATGGGCTTTATTCAGGACAACCTCAATATTGAGCCCAGGCCTTATTAATTCAAAATCACTTATGCTGTGTTTGGTTGGGGGATTTGAGGAGGGATTTGGAAAGGGAAAGGGAAAAGGTGTGTGAAATCCCCCAAATCCCTACCTTTTCCATTTCCCTTTCCATTTCCTTTCACATACCTTTTCCATTTCCCTTTCCAAATCCCTCTCTAAATCCCCCAACCAAACACAGCATTAGACTTTTCATGAAGCATGGGGTAATGATTTCATCCTCAACAGTTCTGCTCCCCTCCATTTTGAATGTTTATAGAGCTCATCACCCGTGCTACCTCCCTACCCATGCGTGCGCCCCCCGAAATTTCTTTTCTCATACCGCTGACAGTTTCAGCCACCACAGACGTGCTCTAGCAGGTAGCCTCCCCTCCCCTGACATTATAATCATCATTCCTTGTTTCGCTGACCCTTACCTCCATATCACCATTTCCATCCACCTCATTGCCAGCTTGCTCCTCCACACCATCATCATCACATTCCTGCTTGCTCACTACTTTAGCTGTCTGGACATCTTCATCACTATTAGAGCTATGATCGGCACTATTACCGTGTTGGTGATGGCAAATGCATTGTTTAGTCACCACCTTCGGAGTACCAATCTGATCTTCACAAAATTTTATCAGATAAAACACCCTTTTGCAGTCCAAATTTATAGTTTTGTTGATGGATTCCATGCACTTTGTGACCATTCTAACCTTGCCACAAATCAAGTTTTTCATATTGGAAGTATTATCATCTAGACCAATCACTTCCCTCCATAATCTGCCTATTATATAAAAAGTGTTGTTGTTCCATGAGTTTAAGGGAACACCATAACAACTCAACCAAACAGCTCTTTCTTGTTCAATGGCCATCCCCTGTTTCCATTCTGTAACCGATTCAAACCATTCCTTTATCCAAACCTCCATTTGTTTGAGTTTTTCTCTCGTGCGTTATGTCCCTACCCCCTCCATCTCAAACCTCATTGTCCTCCATGCCTCTAGTCCTTAACACTTTTTTGAAATCTGCCCCACAACATAGTGGTTTTAATCGCACGATCGCACTATTGTACAACCATCCATTCCCTACTTCATATACTTTTACATTTAAGTTTGCACTAGTGACAGATCCTTTTCCACTTACAACCTGGACATAAGATTCCTTGCCTTTTATCTTCCAAGAAACCTGTCTAGCACCTCTAATTTCCTTTCTTTGAGTTGGAAGATGTAGAGGCCTTTTCTATGCTTCTTTACATCTAACAAACTCAGCAACTTTCACTTTCAAAGCTCTGTTATCACACCACAATCCATTTGCTTTCTGGACTGCCATGGTTGCTGCAATTGAACAATTATATCTCACAAATCCAAACGTTGAGAGAGTCATCTTCCTTCTTTTGTACGGTATGAATACACCTTACACCACTCCAAAGTTGGTGAACAAGTATACAACTGTTTGGGTTCCATTGACTCTGGTAGATTGTCAACAAAAACAGTGTGGATGCCTGACTCCGACCTTTGATGCTTATTCCCTTCATCTCCGTGCTTACGTATCACTGGCTTCCAACCTCCTTCCTTCATCCTTCTCAATCTCAATAAACTTCAGATTAGGCAACAAAGATCCTCAAATTTAAAAACCACAGATCTGGGTAGAGTCTTTCCTATTTAATATTGGTAGTAGTATATGATCTTGTACTTTTTGTTCCATTGCATGTTAAAAGTGTTAATGAAACCTTTGGCTATATTGTATTAAAGAATTGGAATTAATGAGCCCTAGATGCATATGTCTTGGAGTGATCACACTTGTATTAATGTTTATTCTTAGTATTAGTTAAAATCTCAGGCAGAAAGTTTTGCTTTTGGATTCACTATGTTTATATTTTCATCTGTAGATTCTTTTTTAAGATTGAAGAAAAAGAGAGGAAACTCGAAGCAACAATTGAAGAGACAGAAAAACAGTGTGAGAAAGTGACTACCGAACTCAAAGAATTGGAGTTAAAATCTAGCCGCTTCAAAGAGTTGGAGGAGCGATAAATTTCTTAACACGAAATTATTCACTAAACTAAATCTGTCTATTTTATTGGTTTCTGATGAGGTATTAAAATGACCCATGACTTTTTTTGTAAAGTTCTTTCATTTTGAAACATGTTATTTTCATGTGAATCAAGTATTGGCATAAGTTCAATAATTTTCAATTTCAGTTAATTTTACATCAAGTGTGTTGCTATTAATCCTTTTCTCTGACTGTCATTTTCTTCTAATCATTGCATACATTGAGATTTATTCTGGAGTTCGTAGTTTTGTCAGCTATAGATAATTTATACATGTTTTGGGCCACTACAGTTACTTATCTTTGAATTGGTTCAAGAAAATCCTCTGGTGAGGCAATTAGTTTCCTTTAGGCTCTATTTGGATCTATAATTTGACTACTCTCCTTGCTCTGGTCACTCTCTCTTTAATCCAAACACAGCTTAAGTGAACTTGTTCCCAATTTCCTGCCAAGCAAAAGAAGGGGATATTTCAGATTGGGGGTGTGGTAGAATGAATGATGGTGTGAATTGATATTAATGTGTCAGTAAAATTTCTGTTGGAGAAGGATCATTTCCATGTTGTGGATTGATATTATACATGAGAGGGTAATTTTTGGTGAAAATTGGGCCGAGCTGTGAGATGGACTTTGTGGCCCAAAGTACGAAGGACTGGGTAAAAAGGCCGTAATGTTACTCCGGCCCGAGAGAGATATAGTTACTTCGGCCCGAGAGAGATATAGTTACTTCGGCCCAAGATGATGTAAAGCTACTCCGGTCCGGAGGCAACTTGGAGTTAGCCCGGTCTCAAAGTTAGTCCGGTCACGGCGTATTATGGTTAGACCGGTCAGAACTTTGCTATTCGGAAGCTTGGTCTAAACACACCATGATTCCTACATGAGAGAACCGAGATAAGGATGGGGTAAAGGTGGAGCCGAACTAAGGATAGTTCGGCCTACTCTGTGGCTCAGCATAGCCAGTTTTATTTCGGTCATGTAAGAGAGAGATTGAAGCATGGCTTAACATGAGGCTAGATGTTATGTGTTAAATGTTTTGAATGCTGTGGGTTGAAGGTGGATTGTTTGAGTTGGAAAATTCGTTGAAATCCGTATTTTTAGCCTACTTGCGAGTAGCTAATCCAAAGCATTTCAAACAAGACGGATATCAATGTTTAATTTCCAATTAGGCAATTCTATGTTATCTTGTTTGCCTGCGCGCTATAAAATGTATTCTAGCTAATAATGGAATTAGAAACACGTAAGTTTCAAAAACGGATATACGGTTAGTAGAGGCCCGTCTTCGACGGCGAAAGGGGGTGCTCATACGTGACCTTCCCAGATCGGTACCCAAACTTCGAGCTCGGACAAACTCCGGTGATGACAGGACCATGTGGGCCTTTCGCACGGTTCAGGGTTTCCTAATTCTCCCATAAAATAATTAGGTGGCGACTCTGTTTTGGCAAAGCAGTACATGTTTGGACATTATTTTTTTCAAAATATGTTTTCCTCAGAAACGATTTGCCAGGATTTGGACTCTTTGGTTCAGAATGTAAGAACGTGACCAAATGAGTCCGAACGTAGCATGAGGCCCTTCCGGGCCGAGTCTACAAAGACGTACTCTTGGGAATGCGGCCGTAGTAATTGGTAAGCCGATCTCGGATCTCGATAATTATAGAAACTTGTTCTGGGTAGAAGGAATGGGCCAGTTGTTCCATTTTTGAAGATATTTATGACCTATATTTGCTCAAATTCTATAAATAACGAGCATATATCTCAGTGTTGAGGTTGAAAAATTTTCAAAGAAGTAAAACAACCTTTGACGCTTTTCTCTTAGTGCAAAGCTAACTTTGTTGTCAGACCTATAACCAGCGCCTAAATTTGGCGTCGTAACGCCGGCGAAGTAATCTAACTAAAGGGCTTTCTCTGTGAGCAGTCATTAAATAATGGTCGGGTGCTAGCGAAGCATATTCAAAAATTAGCGAATAGTCCCAGTGAGTTGTGCATCTATATGACAATAAACTTACATGCAAAAAACGTT